ACATGCAATATGATTGACAAGTGTTGTAGATTTCGTTACACAAAAAAATTATATTCTCATGAACATGTCCGCAGAGCATTTTGCTTTTTAATTAAAATTTAAAATTCAAGGTCCTTTTATATAATTAAGAGTCAGTTTCTCTATTTAATCGAACAGGCGAACAGCAAACAAAGATTTAATTAGTCAGTTCTGTGCACGGCTTGACTGCCAAGCTTTCTCAAGGTCTCAACTTGCTGGACGCGGATATACTCTAACGACTAACAGGCTAATAACAGCAACAGTTAAATTCGCAATCATACCACGAAGAAGGCGATGTAGCTCAGAAAACAACACCGGTAGGACCTGATATTAAAAATAAGACTTTTGCCGGCGAAGCAAGTTGGCAGAACATCTTGGCTGTCAACAACAAGCTTTCGAATACAGTATACAGGACTAGTCAGGCTGTTCTTTCAGCGTCGTGTGTGTCCAAAATTCGTCAAAGATTTTGATGAAGCCCTTTCAAAATACTGTTTGTTTGATTTATTTTCTTCCATAAAGCATAAAAGAAAAGAAATTCGAAGAAATCGATAATGGAATTTGTTACGTGCGTTTGACCTTTATATTAATTCTCGCCTTGACCGAGCTATTTTTAAAACTGTTGTTTATGTGAACTTGCAACCAATCAAAATCCTTCATGATGCTGATCAACCAATCAGATTTCCCGTCCACCAGGTGGACGGGAATCCCACACTTTAGATAGGTTTTGTGTCAGGCCCTATTCTGTGATAGGGCCTGAACTTCAGGTTAGTGCATTGCATATTGTCTGTTATGATAGTGCATCTTAATTTTTTTATTAGTGCATCTGAGCATCCTTTATGACAATTTGCACTCTATAAATGTATTATTATTATGTTTTGTCATATTAATAAAAATTGTTGAACTAGAATGCTGGGTTTGGTGGACAATATTTGTGAATATATATGCTCACTTGGATTATCCACAAATCCCAGCATTTAAATTATGCATGCTCCTCCTAAACTAGATCAAGTGCCTAACCATGATTTAACATGTACAGGAGGGAGTTTTATCAACAGATATACAAGCCAGCTTTTGACAGACTGGTTTTTGCTTTTCTCCACTAGAACGACTTATCATATTTTTAGACCTTCATTAACAACTACTCAGTTAGCTTATACATGCGTCTACAATACACTGGAAGTCACACAGACAGGGCCGTAGCTAGCATGTATAGTTGGGGGGTGTAGGCCAAAAATTTCCGAATGACGAAGAAAATTTCCGAATATTTCATGGCATACGAAGCCACAAAGGTGTTTGCTATACGGAAAATGAAGATGCAATTTACAAACAAAAATACACATAGTTTACACAAAGACATATTACAGAAGCATGCAGTGCGGTAGGAAGCCCTTTTTTATTGGGGGCTGGGAACGAGGGCCAAAGGCCCGAGGAAATTTTTAAATTTAGATTCTCTGAAATGCCATTTCCTGGACTTTGGGGGAAGTTTTGACAGAATCCGGATGGTCAGAAAACAGAGTTTTAGTATGATATTTGTGACGTTACTCTGAGTATGCATCCACAGCGGGCAAGCTGAAAAGTTTGCTTGGCCACGGTGGGAGTCGAACCCGCGACCTTCGGGATACTAGTCCAATGTTCTGCCAACTGAGCTACGTGGTCAAGTCGATTCGATTGCAGGAAAGAGTATAGGTAATATGATTCTTTGCGGTTTGTCATGGATAATGTAGCCGCTTAAAATTAATCCGCAATAGACCTTTCCCCTTATGACTGAAATTTTGATCTAGACAAGCCTAAACAAAAATTTCATGACAGCTTGAAAGAGCATCACAAAATTAGTAGTAATATTCCGAAGTTTCGTTGCGAAATGTTGTAAAATGTGGATAATATACCCTTGCGAACTTTGCCGTTTTTCAGTTATTGTATTACAAATGGGAAATTGATAATCAGTTTGATCATCTGATTATCAATTTCCCGTTTGTAATGCAAAATGACTGAAAAACGGCAAACTTCGCAAGGCTATATTATCCCCATTTTACAACATTCAACAAAACTTCCGAATATCACTAATTTTGTGATGCTCTTTCAAGCTGTGGTGATATTTTTGTCCAGGCTTGTCTAGATCAAAATTTCACTCAAATGGGGAAATTAAGGTCTGTTGTAGAGGTGTGCAAATCCGATCCGAATCTGATCGGATTCGTTCGGATTTCGTAACCAAAATGTAAATTTCGGATCGGATTGATAAAGTTGCTTCGTAGTCGGATCGGACTTCCATATCGAAAATGAAATGAATTAATTATCCATACATTATCGCAAGAATTAATTATCCATACATTTATCAAAGTATCATTGCGGTTTTCGCTGCATTATTCGTTTGATACTTCAATTGGGTGTCACTTTGTCAGCTTCTTGACATGTATTTCTTGCTTTTATATTTATTTGGTTAAATATTTCAACTTGAATGAGAAATTTATTTTATTAAAGAACTCGTCGGGTCAGATTGGATTGGAATTCTTTTTTCAAAACTTGGATCGGATTCGGATTAGACAATTTCGGATTGGATTTTAAACATTAGGCAATTGTCGGATTATAAACGTCCAATCCGATCCAATGCACACCTCTAGCCTATTGTCAGTATTTTAAAGGTATATTATTTAAATGATAAAGGTGTGCATGATTTTGAAAAAAGAATGATTATCAGCAAATTATTGTAATGGCTGCTGGCCCCCGTCCCCTCCCCCCGACTGCTACGGCCCTGAGAAGTAATAAACCGATTTACGATTTGTTTTACGTTATCCATGTAAATGCCGTGATTTTGTAAATCAGTTTATACCAATGGTTCATACTGACAATACCATTTTATAATATTTTCTCTATTTAAACAACTAAAATTTTGTTATACTATTATTGCCGTAATTTTCCGAATGGCCAACTCGATTTTCCGAATATGTTAATTCTACAAAAGTTGGGGGGTTAGCCACACCCCCCCCCCCCAATACCCCCCTCGCTACGGCCCTGCACACAGAACACCACTTCATGTAACAGTTTTATTATTGGGTTTACTTTTTGCCATAACATGTTCCATTCAATTTCCTTGAACAAACCATTTTTGACTCACAGATTTTGCAAAGCAACATCTGTGACTCTTTGTGGTTACTTGAGTGGGAGGCAGTTAAACAATGGGAAATGATCAGCCTGCTTTGTGCACACTGTTTGCCTGCGAGTCGAGCCTTTCAAGTTCGTTTTGAGTTTTGATTTGGCAAAAGAAGCACAACAAATGGCAAAATTCACAGGGTGCCCATTTGCAAAAACAACTGCAAACTGCTCTAATTCTTTCTGTCACTTTCATTTGATCTCATCCATGAGTCTTGCCTCAACAGCCTTTCAACGGCTTGCCATGTTGCTTTGTAAAGTCTAGTAACGTGTAATATGTTAACTCAATAGTTACGACAAGTGGGCGGATCAAACCAACATGAGGAAGGTTTGGCTCACTTATTAAAGTAAGCATTGAAATTAGCCATTTGTATGATAATTTTTCTTAGGTTGTTTGACTACAAAACCTGCACACACTGTAAAAAACGGCATCCTAAATAACCTTTTTTTATCTCATAGAAGAAGATGAACCTTCAGTAAGTTCAGTGACCAACTCCCCTTTGCAAACAAGATCTGTGACCACAGTTGATTTAACCATTGATGAAGTAACCTGCATAATGGGTCTCAGGGAAAAGAGAGCCTGCACAAAACCCCATGCTTTGAGAGAACGAGAATTTGATTGGTTCAAAATGAAAAATATGCTAATTTATGCCAAAATAATCATGGACTGATTGCTAATAGCTTGATTGTGAACAAACATGGCGGATGCATTTGAGAGGTGTTTCTTGAGTTTTACAACAAGAGCTTAAAGGCCATGATTCACATTTAAGGATGAACAAAAAAGGTGTTTACGAACTTTGTTCAAGAAGCTCTGAGATTGTGGCTGTGGTGTCTTCATTGGATTGCTGTCTGTTAGCCACGTCTCTTTCACGAGCATGTTTGTTTTCATCTACGACAAATAGATTTTCTTGATGATTTTGTAGCTAATAATTTTGTGCCAGGAGAGAATTCCTGTGAATGCTTATGAACAGGACTTGCTCTCTCTGGAGTGATGGCTTCAGAGACCTTCTATTTCCTGTATCGCTCAAAACTTTGACATTTTATACATCACGGTTGAGTCAAAACTAATTTGTACATATCCACGAGATTACATATTTTTCTCACACACAGACTGCAAACTACTTGTGATGACAATGGAGACTCTGCTCTAGCACTATTCCCACAGACTGCAAACGTAAAGCAATCTATACTATTTCATTTTGACAAGTAAATTAGCAAACATAAACAATCTGTGTGATTGGCTAATTTTGACATGTGTTGAAAGTGGGTGGGAATGGCAAAATGGTAGATCTCATGCATGCTCTCCTTTCCCAGAGAGCTGCTATGCAGGCTATTGATGAAGATGATCATGTAATGTTTCTCAGGCAAGATAGTTTTGACAAAATGCTTCATGTTTCATTATGCTTGCCTTAAATTATCTCAAGATAACAAGATTAAAGCTTCAAACGAATTTTTCTTTAAATCTTTCTTGATTTATTTAGGCTACAAAGAACAGCCAATGTGGTAAGAGCAAACAGAAAATAACACATAAGCTTGTACATATGAACAAACGGTAGAGGACACATATTCTGGGCATTGGTTTAAAAAATATTAACTTTAATGTGGAATTTAACAGAATTTAATGTAACACCCATATCATACGAGAATTTAATAATCAAGGCAATCGGCACCCTACCATTATTATATAGTTTTAGTACTTGAAAAGAAAGCAAAAACAATATTCCCTTTTTTGTGGGGCTTTGAAGACTTTAAAGCTAGACTTGTAGAACCTTCTAGCCAATGGAACAGATGATGAAGAGGCTCTTTCCAGTGCATTTACTGACAATTTTGAGAGAATGACTCATCTGCTCTGTTCAAGCAACTTACAGAAGAATGTGGAAAATTGGTTAGTCAAATTGTGTGTCACTGGAAAGGAAAAAGAAAGTATTGTTCCAGATATCTTTAGCCGGCAAATTGGAGACATTTATGAACATGGGTTGTTCGATGCTGAAATTCCGAAACAATTTTGGAGCCAAATGAAAGTTGTCAAGGAAAAGTGCATGAAGGTCCAAAAGAATGGTTGGAGGTTTTATGAGTGGTTTGTCAACAAGGAAAAATGCCTACATCATGTTATCGCTCTGGTTCTCCAAGGAGCAGGACTAGGCTGTCCACCATTGAAATTCACCATGAACAGATTGGAACTAGCAGATGGGGTCATTCAAGATCACATTAAACAATGATTTGGGCAACGTCAAGTGGATGTGTTTTCCTTTTCTGTAGCATTAAAAGAATTGATAAACATGCAAGAAAAGGAAGTTGAATTATCTGTGGTAGGAAAAGGCGAATATGTTATACGTCCACACTAGAAGAACCTTCAAGTAACACCCACACAATGGATTCAAATGATGCAGAAGCAGCAACAACAGGCTTTGACAAAAAAAAACATACCACAAGTGTCGAAGACGTATTTGAGACGAGCGAATCTTGCATGACAACAGCAGTTTCACCTTGAGGCTGGTGTTGACTGGCGGCTCCCATAAGACGTACTGTGACTTTAAAAAGAAAATCTGCCAAGATTCCTACTGCAAGCAGTGGCGTAGCCAGCCCTACAATTTAGTTCAAATTCTATGAACATGAAAGCAGGACTAAACTGTCAGGCTGGCTACGCTACTGACCGCTGGAACTGTTGTAGCAAAATCTATCTCCCGATTTTACCTAATTCGTGTTTTATTAAATAGCTTATGAAAATAAACAACACACTATGATGAGCAAACACACTGTTTACTCGAATAAAACAAACCTCGTTGTCCAATGAATTTTCACCAATTTTCTTCAACAGCTTAGCGTTTACGTCAAATATGGTTAAAACTGTCACAAATAGTACAAGAGGGATTAAAACCCTCGTAGTCAAATTTTTCACATGCATTTGTTCATCAAACGTTATCAAACTGGCTTTGCGCCATTCAGTTTAATAACGCCTGAGCCGACGGCACGAAGCGCCATGCGAGGGTACTAATTCCCCCCGGTTATTTACACCCAGGGAAACTAAAGCATTAGCGAAGTCTAAAGTTCATCAATGACCACGGGCGTGGGTCACTAATGGTGTTGGAGTGTCGGGTGGGTGGTCATCCTCACTGATCTCAAAAATATGGTGGACCGTCATGAATAGCCGACACTGATTGGTCCAATTTAAAGTTTGCATTATAACGACTGCATGACAACAGCGAAAATATAGCAAACATTTCTTGATTTGATGATTGATAAATTTCTTGCAAATATATTTCATTTTTGCAAGATTTTGTAAATTTCAAAAGCCTTCTCAGAAAGAAAGGGTGAAAGAATCGGCTAAAAGAAGGGAGCCAACGTTAACGAAGGTAAGTTTGTTTTAAATATTGATTTTACAATTGCTTTAAGTTTAAAACCCCAACCTTATTCTATGACCCAACAGCCTTTGCGTATATGAAACAACTAAGCAAGACATCATATAATTTCAGTGTATCTTTAATATTGATTCCCTTTTTTATTATATTGCATTTTTTAAATAAAAAAAGAAAGCAAAGTTATTTGCATGCGAGAGTTTGAAATAATTTTATTGCAAACTCAAAGTTTATCGATAAAGCTATTTATTAAATTAAAGGCAGTTTAGTTTTATAAAGAACACTTTAAAACGTTTTGGGAAGCGTTTGTGGTTGCATTTTACCTTAAATTGAATTACGTATAATAACATACCTAACATATATATGTTCGGAAATTGATAATTTTGTAATTAAAAGTGATAATTTTAGGAGATTTTTCATTCGTAAGAATATTCTTAAAAAATTATCGTGTTACCATGACAACATACTTCATGTTCGGAAAATACAATGGTTTTGTCAGCAAGGCGAGGGTTTCTGCATGCATGTATTTTCTAGTTTTAATTGCCTTCATGATAGACTCGTCCCAGACTGCAAAAGCTTCTTTTATGTGCCGGCAACCCAAAATTTTGTCTAACGTTTTGTGTGGTGTGCCGGCATGGTGCAACGTTTTTGTGTGTCGTGCCGGTTTTATGAACAAGGAAAAATTGCGCCAACCAAAGTTTGCAGGATTTGTCAATTTTTAATAGTTCTTTAAAAAGATGTGAATGATAATTGGTGAGAAAAATGAATTTAAAGCTTAAATCTGTTATGATTATATGTCAGATATACAAGCTCCTCCACATTAATGATTTCCTTGCTGTTTTGTTTATAAATTATTAATAAATTATTAATGAATTCCAAATGTTAATTATTTTACTACATATATCAAGTTGGCGTCATGCACAATAACAGAGATTAATTGTGCATGGTGCCAACTGATCTAGACCATAGTTGCCAAAGGTGCGAACAGGAATTGATTAAATACAGACAAGGTGAATTTTTCACAGCCTGTAACTGACGTTTTGAGGAGCAAAATCGTTAGTTCTGCAACATTTTTTCAAGACTGTACTCAGGGTACTGCATGCCATGCAGACAGTGAGGAATCTCAATATGTATTTAAAGGCCTCAGCAGCTATAAATTAATTAAGTCAATTAACAACAAATAAGTAAAATTACATATGGTGTGGAATTGGAATATAGCCATAGCCAGGTGTTGGGTACCAAAACCAGTCACAACTGAAGAAAACAACATGAGAACTTTATAGAAATAAGTTTTAAAGAAATTTAAAGAACTATATAGCAAGTCAACTAACTGATGTCTTTTTCTATGTCGGTTTCTATGAGTTTTAATATCATCAGTTCTGTATAAATAAAGCCTGTGTAGGAGCATTTTATCATATTTAAAATGCGAGTGCACAGCACAGGCATTTTTGATTTAATACTGTGACAACATCATTAATACTAATGAGGATGGATATAAAGAGAATGAAGATGAGTTTGATCAGGTATAAAGCCATTATGGTTCACATGATTTGCCAAAAAGCTTATGTATTATTAATGAGTTATGAGTGCTTTATCAGAATCGTGCATCTGTTTAACCTTTTCTCAATTTCATTGAAGTATTTATTAACATTCTTAATTAGCTTCCAATACGTACAACAATTTAATGAAACAAAGAAAATACTAAATTAAAATAATTAGAAATATCTGGCAACTGAACATATTTTGACTGTTAAACTTCCGGACATTTTGAATTCAATTTTAATGTTTTTCAAAATTCGGCTTTTTGCGGTGTAGAATGCTAATGCATAATTATAATTTCTCATGCTTTTTTCAAGCACGATCTAAGTTGAATAAAAGTGAAATGTTTTTCTAAAATAATGATAGTTTTACACTAACCTTGTTGTCCAATGAATTTTGATCAGTTTTTTTCAATGCCATTGGTTTGGCATTTGTGTGAAAAATGAGAAAGACTAAAATGAATAGGCGTAAAAATCCCTGTATAAGAGGCGTAAAAATCCCCGTAGTCAGAACATGCATCTTGTTTACTGGTACAAGTTTGTACAAGAACTAAATCATGGTTCGGCTTGTATTCTAATCTTCTAAACACGCAAGCTCAACTTGGTCAAAATCTGCTTATCTATCATATTTCAGTACATTTATATCAAACAATGGGGTCAAATTACGACATTTCATCATGATTTTGTTATATTTTGTGTTACTTTATAACATGAAAGCCATTTTTAAACATGCTAATGCAAATTATCCAAGTAAAAACCAGCATCCAATATACTAAATAGGAATATGTGTTTAATATAACTAATATACGAATATGCTATACGCCCACACTAGAAGAACCTTCAAGTAACACCCACACAATGGACACAATGGATTCAAATGATGGGTTCAAACAGGGCTAAATCATCAGGCCGGTTATGCTACTGACCGCAGGAACTGTTGTTGCACTTTGTTCAACTGACACAACCACCACAGTTATTGTTCCTTCAAAGAACAATCCCAATATATCCCTATCTGCATGTAGTTAACATGCATGTTTCCAAATGGAAAATGTGAGTAATGGAAAATGTGAGTATGTTCACGTTCAATCAAACAGTTTTTATGGTCAAAGATAATCAACAAGAGTCCAGTGACCCAACTACGTCCGAATCTTGTCCCGAAGATGCTGAAGAAAGAAACATCAGCATCTTAGCAGAAAGTATATAAATATATAAGTTGCACAGTTCAATTGTGGCACACTTAAAGGATGTTCTGTTATGATGTTATATATTAATAAACAACATATATTTGCCAGAATGTGAATGGTTTTCAGATATAAGCAAGGGCATTGAATGAACAGCCCTTATTCATATGAATGTTTTGATTGGGGACATTTGTAGTACATCACATGCTTTATTTATATATTTGAAACATCACATATTTTAAACTACAACCGAGTAAATTCTGAGCAAATTCAATTCGGCAGACAGAAGCTCACTGTGGCATGCATTTGACCAGATCAGGAAGCATCTTCAGCTGTTACTTCAGACGTTCCACATCAAGATCTTCTGCATGTCTGAAATTGTTTCTGAAATAATGAAATGGTTGGCATTGACAGCTCTGATTAATAGTTGAATATTGCACAAGTGAGCCAAACAGTGAACTGGCAATGCACATGGTTCCTTTTGTTAAATTTGAGTGGAAACACCATAGCATCATAACTTTGGCCACAACAGTGATACATCGTAACAGAACATCCTTTAAGTGTGCCACAATTAAACTGTGCAACTTGAAATTTGGACAATACCTAACAGATCCTCGTGGATGCAAAACACTCATCCACCCAATGACCAAATGTTCTTTATTTGAGATCTCTCGGATTTTTACAAGAATTCCATGGAGAACATCTTGACCAATCATACTAATAATTTCATTCACAATCTGGGGAGATTGATAGTGCTTTAATTGAAATCTCTGGCACATTGTCAGTCCTTGTCTTAACAGCTGGTATAGATTTCCATCTTTATCCTCATGCCCTAAATTTCAATTGACAACATTTGGTAAAGAATGTAAAATTGGATGTTGACTGTAATTTAAACTTTGACACATCTTATTGTTGAGTGGACTAAAAACATATTTCCTTGTCACTTACATACCTCGTAAATGGCATTCCTTGACTAAGACAATATTTAATGGATGATATTTCCTTTATCAGCAATGAGTGGTGCAATGCTTGTGAATTTTCAAGTTGAATTGCCAGCTGGCTAGCAACTGAAGGTTGATGCATAAGGATCTGTTTCTCCATGCTTTCTCTATGAGCTTGGCTGGTCTCATGCTCTTTAAACTGC